AGATTTCAAGAACTCAAACTGAAAAACATACTAAACCTTTGTGTAAAAACTACCAAAGGTCCAGGTTTAATATTAATGCTATCCAATTTCTATGATTTTCTAATACATTTACGTTTACATTTTTACATTTTTTAATTTTTTTGTAATTAATTTGTTTTGGTAGTTCTTCCAGACCTCCGCATCAATAAATAAAGAGTCTTTCATACATGTGTTTTAATATATTTTCCAATGACTACTCTACACCAGTTGTCATTGTAGGAACATTAATATAAAGAAAATCAGAGGCACATGCTGTTTTCAAAAATGCACAGCCTCATATTATTGGCAAAACTGTTTGTTTATTTGAACAATAAAAAGAAAAGAAAGATGTAAAAAAAAAAAAAAAAAAAAAAAGTGGGAGACAAAACTCAATACAAAAAAAAGTACCAGGATTATTATGTGAGTTTGCATATACATTAGCATGCTAAATTATGAGCCTCACACTTTCCATGACACAAAAATTGGCAAACGTTGCAGTGAGGACTCTCTATGGGAATGAGTCCTGGAGGGGAGAGTAGGAAAGATTGCACTTATCAGGAAGCTCCCACTCAGACTCTTATTTGTAATTCAGAGCTACATTGCCTGCTTCTTGCCAACCTAGATGAAGCGGACATTGAAAAATAGGGGGCTGTCTTCGCTCCCCTCCATCCCCCGCCCCCACCCCCAACCTCTGACTGTCTTATCTAGAGTGCTCCAGCAGTGTGCTCGCCTGCAGAAAGCTGTGGAAGACAATAACATATCTGTTTCCACCTCACACATTCTAATAACTACTGTGGCATACTTAGACAGCTAATCTTGCATTTCCTATCATAGATTTTGAGGGTCTTCTTGTTGCAAACAGTTTCCAGTGTAGACCGCCTGGTTGTCTTATTCAGTGTTATGACACATAACCGAGTCAACAAGAGTTTAATTTAAATCAGGAAGCAACAATGTAAGGATATAAAATCTTCTCCATATTTTCCATGAGTTTATTTTTATCATGAAGCATCTGTGTCCTCATGAATCTATGAGAATTGGTATATTTGTTTGCAAGATATTCTCTATATCACACATTCAGTATGCACAGTATGAAGCCAGGGATTTGACTGTGCACAGTTCTTTTCTCTCCTCTGTAAAGTCATGTACAGTACATAGCAGCCTCATTCTAAATTCACATAGTCAGTCTAACATGTTCAATTCATATATAATAATATTTTCATGGTTGTTTTTGTGGTGCTATAATACTTCCTGGGTTAACATGTTTGTCATTATATTAAGCACACGTCAGCACACGGTTCAGCCCGACTGACATCACAAAAACTGCTGTACTGTGGAACTGAACATGCTCTTATCTGTTTGTTTGTAAGGGATGCACTTAAAGGTGGAGGTTGGTTTTAGGACATCACTGTAGTAGCCCTTATACCTCCTGTGAAGGTTGAATGCAGTCGCTTTGAACCGGAGTCTGCCATACTATTGTTAATGTCATGAAATTCAATAAGAAAATAAGAGTTCATTAATATACCACATTGCATTCCAAGTAATTCAAAGTGCTTTACATAATGCAATAAATGCAAACACCATAATACATTTCAAAATAAATTGCAAAGATTAAAACAATAACAAATTAAAGGTAGTTCAAAATGTAAGTCCAAGGTGGATAATGATGAAAGCCGAGAGTCCAACATCATCTAGACGTTTGTGTAAGCTCTAGGTTGCTTTGCTATCTTTCTGTGTTGTTTAGTTGTTTTGTGTGGGCTGCGAATGGTACCACTACCAATTTAACATTTTCTTTATCTTTTACCTTGATGACATGGTATTTATTTATAGGTTTTTGATGTCCCACTGTGATAAACAGGAGGAAGTACAAAATTACATCTTTGTAGTCTGCAAAAACATGTTGAGTTTCCTGTCTTTGTTGCAGCGGTGAAATCAATTTTAATGTAAGTTGTGGTTATTGAAACTTACTGTGGGAGATAACGAGGTGGATAAGCTTACATTAAAAAAATCAATTAAGAACAACCCAAGAAGAAGAACATAGTGGTGTTGCATGCAGTGTTTTCTTTTTTTTTAAATCAATGCCTCTATATTTTGCATTCAAAGACTTGTATTGATGACTTTATCTACAACATCACACAACACTTAAACACGTGATGCCGCAGTTACCAAAGAAGCAACTTAAATCTATAAGGGAGGGAGTGTCATATAAACCATAATTGTTTGCCAGTATTTATGGGTTGGCTATTAAAGATAAAGCCCATATTTTCAGTGTGCTTGTGCCTTATTTATGACTTTTTTGCTGCCTTTGCACAATCAATACATGCAAACTTAACGAATAAGTAATCTAGTCTGTGACTATTATAGGATTTTTAAACACCAGTGAACTGTATCTTGTGGTTGACTCTTTCCAGAAAGGGCCAGCTCTTTGGTTTGCCAATAAGGCCGTTGCTGCTTGAGTTGCTCCATAAAATGTGGTTCTATTATCGGGTCCATTAAGTATACCTCTCTGTAATGACACCCCACTCGCCGACATTTTTCTCTCGACCCCTCTCCTAATAACCTCTTTTACATTTCATTTTCGTTATTTAGCGGGCAGCCCTTATCCTCAGCCACTTACATTTATTCAGTGAACACAAATTAAAGGACTCAGAAGCTCTGGGAAGCAGGTGCATGTCGTAAAAAGAGTGAACTGGTCTTAAAGGTCTGTTTTAGTTTTGGTGGAGGAAAGGTGAGAGCTAAAGTGATCCATCTGGTGCTAAAATGTATCAGAGCAAGGGCTGCATACACCACATATCCTACATTCTAGTTTGTTGAAATAGTTTGTTGTAGTGTTGAACCGTCTAGTTTCCTTGTGTAACATATCAATCACAACTGTGTGTGCAGGAGGGGAAGATGGGAGTATAACACCAGGTCTTCTATAGGAGGAGTCAGGTACTGTTAGTGTCATGTCAGAACCACAGGATTAAAGATGATGATATGTCATTCACATATCAGTCAACAACCTACAACAACAGTGAATGTGTCACCGATGACACATTCAGGGAAAAGACAGAAAAACATGAACACATGTACAATGTAGTGAATTCAGTGCAATATCTCTGCAATATATATATAACCTATATAACCTATATTATAACCTTCACTGAAATCCTAACGGTGGGCAAATACAATGCGTTTGACCAAATGTAAAATTTTTCTTTCAACTAAAAGATGTGCTTGCGCAAAAGATTGATTATTTTACAAACAACATCAATGAACAAAATTAGCCCCCTTGGATCACTGTTCAGAGTTACAGATTGTTTCCTGTATGATTCATCCAATTTCTTGACACTAGAGTTTCAGCTTTACTAAAAAAACATCCCACTGTACATACTACTGGAAATCACTTTTTTTCCAAACTGTTTTGGTCAAATCTATCAGAATGCAGTGACAATGTGATAGTGACAGAAACATTAACAATTTAGATGAATTTCCTGATAGGGTCACAGAATTTGCACTCCGGTCTGCACTTAAAAGCTTCAAAACCTTTATTGTCACACGCACAGAGAACTAGTTGCAGTATACAAGGAGGTTCTTAGTTTAATAACCAAACTTTACAACAAGAGGCTCAGTTATTGCTCATTCTAAGTGGAAAATACTGGACTGTAAATATAAATGTTCTTTTCTACATGATCATTAACAGATTCCTTAATCTCACTGATGCTGTGGTGTAATAATGGTGAAAGACACCACGAGTATTAAATGAGCAATGAGAGGATTATTTCCACCGATGCTTTGCAGAATGCAGAATGCAAAGCATTTGCTGTTTTGCTGAATTGGCAAACACTGTTGGAAATCCACTTCTAGCTCTGTATGCTGATCCTTGCTATGCATTTTCACACTTCAAAACAAACACCCTACCCTTTATTAAAAAGCCAAAGTGCAGTCTGTATTCTGTCTTTAATTTGTCTATTCCTCTCGCTTTGTCATATTCAGTCTCCTATTTGCAGTTCTTCCATCCATCTCTGATTGATTTTAGTTCTTCAGACAGTAATATTGGGAGCTGGGATATGAGAGTATGAAGTGTGATTTATGCGAGACACTTGATAGTGGAGCAAATGCGAGATGGGACTGAGCAGTTTTCCTCAGCCTCCCCCACCCCCCCTTGCCCTGAGGATGCATGAAATTGAGCAAATGGCTCTACTCATCCTTATATAAATGACTCTCCATATGCTCCACCTAGACAAGCACATTTAGTGTGCAGAAAAAGACATATTTTTATATTGAATATTTCACTTTTGAGGTTTGATGTGAGAAATTGAAGTGTGACATCTGTCTGTTGTGGCTTGTTTTAAACGCGTGTGAAGTCATTCCCGCTGCAGATACTTTGAAAGCGCTTTGAAACATTTTCAGTGAGTCAAATTGTGAGGAAAAATATCTACTTCTCTTTGCCGCTGTTTTCATTTTATTGTTTGTTTCTCTGTGACAATGCCAGGGAGGAGTTCTTTTAAACACCAGCCACTGAATAATAAATGGGTACACCTCACTCCTTTCCTCATAATTCCTGCCAACACAGAGCAAGTTCAACAGGCAGCTGCAAAGACAAATTTCATTATAATATCAAAGTCTTGTCTCTAGTCATCTACTGGACCCCACCTACCCCTGTGATGCTTATTACCGACAGTAATTTGGCACTGCAGTTATCTCAATTACAAATGGAACCATAACCTCCTATGGTGATGTTAAATCGATTTTGCATTTCAGACATAACCATTTCTGCAGTCTTGTAGCTTTTCAAAGCTAAGGCACCTCTGTGAGATTGGATACCAGTATGCATGTGACCCTTCTCTAGCTACTAGGATTACATTTTTACTTTGGCTTTAAAGACTGATCACTGTTAAGCCTGTCTGGCAAAATCAGAGCCACACACTTCCTTACTAAGAATACATTGGGCCATGTTTTGGTGTGAGCTTGCTGAAGCTCCCTTTTCTTTCTGTGTGTTGTAGTCCTGCTGCGTGAGGAGGTGGCCCAGCTCCAGGAAGAGGTGCACCTGCTGCGGCAGATGAAGGACATGTTGAGTAAGGACCTGGAGGAGACCCAGGGAAGCTGCTCGGCCGACGTGCTCTCCGCCACAGAGCTCCGTGTGCAGCTGGCCCAGAAGGAGCAGGAGCTGGACCGAGCCAAGGAGGCTCTGCAAGGTAATGACCTCACCAGTAGACAAGAAGCTGTGTGTGTTATTCAAAACACTAACATCATTATTATTATAAAATATGGACATTGATGCTGCCGGAGATAGAAGGCCAACAGTATTAGTACAGTTTAGCTCTTTTTCAATGGATTTTTAATGGTAAAAGTAGTTAGAATAAATTAGAATTTTGATTTGGGCTGCACAGGGACTTTTGTTTTCATACTTTTTTTTATGCCTCTCTTTTTTCACATTTGTTGTCTATTTCAACTGTCAAATAAAGGCAAAATTATCCCAAACATCTTTTGAAACAGAAATAATTAAATGTAACTCTAGTGAATGATTAGCCAATTTTCTGTTTTGACCTAATTCCTTAATACAGTTTATTTTTACATGCTGTCACCAGAAAAAGTTATCCTTTTACTGATTTCCCTACATCTGGAAGCCATTTGCTTTTATTTGACTTAAAAACATACGGAAACTACTTTTTGAATATAGAATCAAAGTTATCCAAAGTAGTAAATGTAATGTGTTATTTTACTTGTCAGGAAGAAATCTTATCGTCAATATGCACAAAAAAGATCATAATGTTAATGAACCGTGAAATTGTATTTTAATATGTTGTCCCCAGCTAGATTTTAGAACGGCCACATAAAGCTAAATAAACCAACAATTCTTTTAAAGTTTACATGTGCAAAGAACTTATGCACAAGAAAGTTCAGTAAACACACGCTGACAATAACAAACAATAGAAACACATCGTAGTTTGCTGCAATTCACAATGGAGAGGGTCCGTTTATATCCACCTACTGTGCATTTGAACAAATGTGTAATTTTAGAAAGCCCTACTTTGATGAACACAACAAAGGTATGTGTAGGTGGTTTTGCCCCGTTAGGCGAAAATGTGAAAATTGGAAGTAAACAAAGCAGAGCAAAGTTGCAGTAATTCTCTTTTCCTGCTCAAAACATTTTTTCATCATTTTGCTCCCAGGCTTTAGTTTCTCTGTTTGCCACTCCCCACTCATGCTGAGGGAAAAACCTGCTGCATTTTACTGCATCAGGCTGGAAACCAGTTCCTTTGTTCCTCTGTCACCATAATGTTAACACGAGTGTCTGTAACAATGTGGTTAATGCTGCCCATTAGCTGCATGATGGTCCATTAGCATGTGTTCCATTCGAGAGATGGAGTGTTATCTTGGGGGTTGAGAAAGGACGCTGATGATTTGACTTTTCAGAAAAGCCGCTCCGCAGGCTGCTCAGTTCCCACTCTGCACCACCCACGTACCCTGATGTACATAGAGCACAATGAACTGTAGAAGCTTCACTGTATCGTCACAGCAATGCTGGATTCTGCATTTAAACATGTCTATATTTGCTTCACCTAAACCTCTCAGCTCCATGATTTTGTTTGTGTATATTAGAATTTCCACCAGAGCAGTACACTTTAGATTAAGACTTGACTCAGACTTCATCAAAAATAAGGAGGACTTGAATGCTGTGAGACCACTTCATTGATACTTGACTCCCTAGAGACTGAAAAGACAAAACATTCCAGTCTCATGTTTCTGGTGAAATTGAAATACAATATTATTAGACAGTAACCGGCAGGTCTTGAATTTTTAATTATTAGAGCAATGCACTGAAAGGACTTTGCCTCAGTTACATTGAAGGAAACACTGATTTCAAAGACTCAAAATGTGTCATTGAAATGGTCAGCATTTAGAGACTTTATTCAGTCTTGCGTCTTTTGCAATTTTCTTATGAAGACCTATTATTTCACTTGGACTTGTCTATAATGATTTTACCTGCACTTGCCCCAAAATAATTATAAACAGCTCTGTGAATTAGTAATGTCTTTAGTGTTTACACGCTGCCCCTTTTGCACAATTCTAAATTAGTGTTTTTCCACCTGGAAGTGCTGATTAGGATAAGGTGTGAAGATGGATGTTTTATTCTTTGGCACAGATACACTGAGTAATTGTTTAATAAAAAGGAAAAGTTCTTGTCTTAGCTGCTGTGAAATATTTGTTTAGTGTTAAAATACAGATTAAATGCAATTACATAAACATAGACCTCCTGACAACAGGTTACCTTAAAAATCTCATTAGCCAAACAGAGCACCTTGGAGAACACGCTGTAATTATCCTTTCAGAACTGATGAAGTACCAATGTATAGTACAGATTCCTCTCTCTTAATCACCAACAACCACAGTATGTGGTGCTCTGTATCTGTTTTGTGCGTGAGTGAATGTGAAATGGGAATACACTTACATATTGCCTTCATGGAGTCTTTGCACAGGGTAAAGTAATGAACACGTTCTGCCAGGCAGTGCACAGTGGATTGCAGGGCATCAAGCAGAGATGTCATCAGCGTGGCAGTGAATCATTCTTTTCAAAGAGTTATCGCCCATGGAATGAGGCAGAGCACAAAACCGCCATTTGGTATCAGACAAACGCATGACATGTTGTCAGGGGATTTTGTTGCTGCGACATTTCACTTGACACTTGCAGCCTACGCTTTTTGGAAGAATTGAACAAAAACAAAACGGACTGGGGCAGAGTACAATAGAGCACACATCAAATAAATACTTATCTCTTCTTCAGCTGGATGTTTGGCTGCCTGAACATACTGCACACAGACTCATACAGTCATTTGTATGACTCAGGCATGTTAATGAAGGCCAAAGCCTACCAAGCCCAGCAGGCACTGACAGCAATCAGCAGTTAATGAAAGCTTTATAAAGTGGGACTTTGGTTGGCTTATATGGTCCAGAAACATTAAGCAGAGTGGATCTGGTCTGCAATTAAGATGGGGTATGTGGGAGGACAACAGGAAATTGGCTGTTGTCATATTTGAGCTTGGTTCTGTTGGAGGAGGTTCAGAAAGGCAAAGCGACTGGGAACTTAAGCGTGAAGACATTCCTTTTGCTTTTTTGTAATAGTTTTTGCTCTCAAAGCCATTTCATGTAAGTAACGGAGCAGAAGTTGAGGTTCAAGTACCAGTTTTGGCCAGAGAGAGTGACCCGTGAAAAAAAACCTGTATTTGCATTCAGTTGTGAAAGCAGCAATTCTGAATTATTTATATTTTTTTATTGTTATTTTCCACATGACCTGCCCTGGGCAGCCATAGCTGGTTCCCAGCTTTTTTGTTAGTCCATGGTTGTCACCCTCTATCTTCATACACTGACACTGTGGCTTGCTCAAACTCCAAGGATACTATTTTTTAAGACAGCTGTGAAAGGCCAGCAACAGTATTAGCCTGCATTTTGCAGTGTGGTGGGAGCAGCCAGTGAATTCTGGCTTTGTCCCCAGCAATATTTACAGCTGTTTCCAAGCAGAAAGTGGAAACACATCTGTCATCCCATTTTGTCTCATTTTCTTGTTTGTGTTGCTTTTCCAGCTGCTTCCACCAAATGCATTCATGTTCTGTGTTGCCATGTTGGCCATGGTACTGGCGATAACTGCAGTTAGGACAGTATGCAGAGGGAAGCAATGACACCATTAAAGTCGAGAAAAGAGTTTTATTTATTTTGTGTATATTAATGTGTTGATGAGCTTTCACAGGCATGAACAACAAGGAAGAGAAAATAAAAAAGGTAGCGAGGCAATGACCATGTTTAATAAAACGACAGCCGACAGTAAGACATTTAAGGTGAAAGCGAGGATGTAGAAAAATATTGGCAAATACGAACTAGCTAGCAATTATTTTTTATTGTACAGTAAGTGAGTATTATGATAGAACCTTTCAGGTATGTATGCATTTACATAAAGTTTTATTGTCAGGTAGAACTGGAGGAGCACTTCAGCAGTTGATGACCCCGCTCACATCTGAGTCTTGTTTATACTGGATGACTTCTGGAGAAAACAGATACCTGTATTTCTAATGTTCCTGATGCCCTCAACATTTTTGTCTGGTTACTTTTTGTGTTTTAATGGTTTTAAAACAGCAAAACGAAAGACTCTTTTGTAGAGGGAGTTTGAAATAGGTGGGTTTTAAAGTGGCTTTAACTTCAAGTGGCAAAAACAAAAAAAACATAGGCCAAATGTTCTTGAGAATACCTCATTAACTACAGCAATTTCCGTATGCTGCCAATTGATTGGAGGCAAGATGTCGACTCTATTTGATTTCCCCTAGTTTTCACAAGACTGGCATATTGTGAACATCCCACCAGATGCTCTGGCAAAGCTTTTCCCTCGAAGAATGAGAGCAATGTTTGGAGAACTTAAGCACCCTGGGGGGTTTTGTTGAATTGCTACCAACAATTATTGTGAGCAGAGTAGCTTTGCGTGGTTTTTTTTGCTTTTATTTATTTATTTTCCTGTTGTTCGGCTTTGATGGAAAAAGCAAAAGGCTGGAGTGATGAAGTAGCGTGAACTAAATGCCTCATCCCCTCCTTTGCTCTGTGCCACTTGAGATAATACCTGTTTACTTTGGGAAGTGTTCACAGAAACTGTGATGCCACTCCTACCTTCAGTTCAGATGGTTTGTGGCTAAATTACATGCAGATTTTTCCAGTGCCTATGAATACAAAATGGAGAACACAGAGAGGAACACTACTTTTCAGTCTGTTTTCTCTCCAGTTATACTTCATTTTCTCCCTCACTTTCTCTTCCTCTGTCCCTGTCTTTGTTTGGTGTGATGCCCACACTGTTTCCATGTTAAGGCCTGAGCTCACTCCCACTGTGTGCCAGACGTTAGCCTGTGAGCACTATAATTGTAATCGTGGGTAATTGCCAACCTCTCACAATTGCAGGTTTTGTTATGATGCCCGTGGGCGCTCGGTCCAGCTCAAGAACTGCTGCTTGGAGTCATTTCATCCCCCCTACCTTTTAAGTACACAAATGACAATGAACTGAAACTGTCATGGTAATCTCCAAAGTCTTAAGTGAAGGTGCCATGAGAAAATAAACAGTTTGGCTGGACTGTTCTCGTAAAGTGTTTATAGGTTTATTTGGACTTTTCTCATCCAAGTTGTGTTTAATGAATTTTCAAAGTATAGCTGGCCTTCTCTGCTGTTTTTAATTAGCTATTTCTGCTTTGGCTAATTACTATCACTGAGGGACTCCCAGTCAATCCAGAGCTCAAATGAAAGCAGCAGACAGCTATGTATCATCAAAGCACAGTCTGCCTGCACTGTTTAGTGTCATTTCACGCTACACTGTACTCAGAAAGCAGCTCTGTCCTTGAGTACAAGGCCTCTTCCTTCACTAGGTGTTTAAACACCAGTACACACACACACACACACAGAAAGACACACACACTCACTGCCGCCAAATCTCATCTGGCTACTTAACCTGATAACATTAAAGTAATTGCAGTGGTTTTAGTGATGTCTTTTATTTTTAAACAAATTAAGGTTTTTTTTAAAAAAAGAGACTCCAATCAAATTTTGGAAACCAGGGGAAATCATTGTGGGCTGGTGTGTTCGCAAATCTTTTGTTATTTATTTCCCCAACACTCGCAGCAGCTTCATCAAAACAGGTAATAAGGACGGTTTTGCTATTAAATTTGCACCTCAATCTATTCAGTTTGGATGGTCTCGAGTGAGAACACGTGTTTGGATCACAGTGGCCCCTAGTGGTGATCGAGTGTACTTCAGTCAGACAGAGAGACATTGGACCAGTACCACTGTATCAGAATACATGGCAGCTGACTTCCTCTTTGCACTCGCCTGTTACAGGGGTGTTACATAGCTCAGGCTCAGCTTTTTACAGCACCGGTTCATTTTGTTTTGGATCCAGTGAAGACAGTGAGGTTAGTAACGAGGCGCTGTTATCAAAGCATGATTCTCCCACTGATTCCCTGATGTGTCAGTTGTGCAGTTGAAATAGCTTGTACACACACACACACACACACACACACCTCTAGATCACCTATTAGTGAGCAATGTTTGATCTATTTTTAATGGATAGCTTATAGGTTAAACCTATAACAAGGGTCAGATGTCATTGTGGAGGTTTGTAGATCCATGATAAAACTTTAATTAATGTTGGTGAATATCTCCATGACAGCAAATAAGTATGATACAGTAGTAACATGATATCAACCTCGTACAACCCGTGAGTTTGTTTTTACTGAGAAAGTGAGGAGGTGAGCACACTGTGCAGCTCTGAGGCTTCTACTTCATTATTCAGCTGGCAGATTTAAAATCCCAAACCGTGAACACTGGACTCCCTCCAATGAGCCGATGTCTCTTTTGTTCTCTCCCCAAATAATTATGTTAAGAGCCGACTAAAAGCCTGTCCCATCTCTTTAGGACTGAAGTTATATGGAGTAACGTCAGTGTGAAGTAGTTTCATTCATTAATGTGAGGGACATTTTCTAAGGGGGTGTTGGTAAGTGGGTCTCTCTTTGTGATCCTGTTGTCTGTTGTGGCAGGTAAACCCAACTTGAAAAATTGTACATGCTACTACGGACATTAATTCCTCAAAGCAGAGACATCTGTATTGTTGCCATTGCCCCATGTCATTTATTTATCCATGTAGAAAGTGGTATTAAGCAGAAAATCAGGGATGGGATCTTGTTATCATATTATTTATATATTTATTACCGTGATAGATGGGGCACGCCGGATAATGAGGGTTGTATTTTAACCAGAGAGATGCAGTGAGTGGGATGTGAAAAGCGTTCCACAGTGATACCAACCGCAGTGAATGAGATGGCTTTCTTTACAGTCAAGGATCATCAGAAAGTCTGTCCTTGGTCTGAATAATGTTTGACACATACCCACAGAGTACAACATGCATTCATTTATAGTGTTTTAAAGTGATAGTCAACCAAATATCCATGCTTTGCATATCAAACAGTGACCCCCTGTAGGCTTAAAAGGTAGCTTTAAACAGTTTGTAGTTTGCTTCTTCACAAACAGAAGCAGCTCTGGTCAGGTCGGATTCATGTCGTTTACAAGAAGGATTCCTGTGGTGACATGTCAACACATACAAGAAATATCTCTTCCTGCAGTATGATGCACTCTTCTTCTGTCCATACATGCACACAGAAATTAAAAAAACACACTATGACAAGCACTCAACACAAGTTATGCGAATTATGTAATTCAGAGGAATACAGCTGATCATTTGGTAACCATTTTGCAATAAGATGAATCCATAATGGTATAATAATAATAAATAATAAAATCTTGTGAATTCCCATCCCTATCTGTCAGCTCACTAATTAACATGTTATATCCTGTATCCTGAAATGAACTTGGTCTTGTTGTCACCATCAGGTTGCCAGGCAATCAATGGAGACTCTAGTGTTTCCAATTTTTATGCTAAGCTAAACTAATCAGCTGGCTGTAGCTTCATATTTATTATACAGACAAGACTGGTATCAGTCTTCTCATGTAATCCTCAGAAAGAAAGCAAATATAATTTTCCAAAATGTCGATCTATTCCTTTTAAGTTACGTTTGATACAGGAGTGCCTCCAGCCAGTAGGAACTCCCTGAGGGGTTCAACGTTCCTGTTTGGTAGCTAATGAGTTGGCCCACTCATTGCAGGCAATCTAAGCCCTCCAGTATAGCAAAGCGTCATAGAGGAGCCCAACAGACAAAGGCTTTTAGCCCACTACAGTGGTAGATGCTCACATTAAACTACTTTAAAGCACAAGGGCTTTGGTAGCAGAAGAGCTTTTGTGTGATGAGCTGAAAAAAAAAAACACTTATGCAGATTTTTGTGTGTCGGGAGAGCTTGATACAGGCAGGTGTTTTTGGTTTTCAACATTGGGCAGTAGGAACAGTGGCTTGAACTTTTAATGGTGAATGTTTGTGTCCTGATCTCCTTTTCCGGAGGAGCTTTTAGTATCTGAATTTGCATGCAGGCACACACAATTTTGCACAAAGACAAGCAATGATTGTACATTTCGACACATAGCAAAACTAGATAAAATCAAAAATAAGTACACAGATACTCAGGATACACAAAATATTGTCATACAGTGCATGACAAGAAAGAAGATAGGTCCTTGCACAGATTCCTTTTTTATTAAATTGAAGCATCTACTATAGATTCCTCTCCATGTCTTCTTCCTCCTCCAGCTCAACAGACATTAGCTTCAGCTCTGTATGGCTCCCAGGTGGTTTCCTTTTGTTTCATCTGGTAATAATTCTTGGAGGCTTGGACCGAGCTGCAGAGTACGTAGTCATTTATATGGCTGTTAGCAGAAGGAAACATGCTAGTACTTCCCCATCTCATCTACATTCTTCAGTGTAAGGTAACTGCAGTGAGCCCCAGGACCATCTTTGCGCTTTAAAAATATTCATACATAGGTTATAAATGGTAAGTAACAGTGCTAACGTGATTTGCGAGCGTGAATAGACCCTTTTACCGAGTCACTGTGAGTGCTTTCTTGTATCCGACACCAGGAGGGTTGATGTTGCCAAACGGTCACAGGTGCAGGATGTGAGGCAGCAGCAGCATTTTTGGCTCATCTCAAAGACGGCTTTGATTACACTTCCTGAGGCAGGTGCTGGGAGGTTTCCTGTTTCTCTTGGCCAGTGTGGGATGTTTCTTGTCTTCGTTTGCCGACTAGTTTGGCTTGAATATCCCTTTTGCTTGGGGATTCCACCTCTGAAGAACGGGTGAAAGGGTGACAGGAGAAAAAAATGAAGTAAAGGAAACGAGAGGGTGAATCTGTCCTTGTAAAACTGCACTTCCATTCCACTTGCCTGAGCATGCTCCCTGGACGCAACTTGTGAATGTCAAGCAATTAACCAGGCTGTGATATAAGTTAATTAATGACACACAGCTGGCTCAGAGGGGGGAAAAAAAGAGGGAAGGAAAAGAAAGGTGAACACGTGATAATAAGCATCAAGAGGAAAACAGACAACCGTGTGATGTTATGAAATATCAACAGTCAGAGCAGCTGTGCTGTAAGGACATAGATGTCAAAGTGAAGAATACAAAGGTGGACAGACACAGTAAGAATACATAAAATGTAAATAAAGCATATATTGTCAGTTTGGAAAGATAGCTTGAGGCAAGCTCAGCTTTAAGCGAGCAGATGTCTGGAAAACAGCCTTGCATGAAAATCAAGAGAAAGCAGGAGAAGAGGCAGATGCAGAGGAGAAGAGAAAAAAAGGATATGTTGTCTTTGAGAAAATTAGAGCTTCTGTGAATAACTACAGTGCACCACATTCTTTATCATGATGCGTGGGTGAGGTGCCAGGGGATTAGAGAGAGTGTGTGGCAGAGAGATAGATGAAAAGGAGAGACCCAGCCTCCAACGAATCCAGCAGCAGAGAGGAGATTGACAGTCGGGTTCATGTGTGATTCACCCCTTTATCAGCACGCAGTCACAGCCTCATTAGACCAACAACAGCAGGTGTATTTCATGCTCTTACTTAAAACGCTTCAGATCTGAGAGTGCTTAATAACTTGTGGACTACACATACTGACTTAAAACAAAGAAATACTGAACATGAATCACCTCAAAGCATGTTAGCAGTAGTATACGTGGCCGCTTTAAGGTAATTACACTTTTTATTTACAGTTCTGCAGTTAATAAGTCTGTATGTGCGATTGTTTTGACAAAAGAATAAAACAAAGGCTGTCATTCTGTGACGGCCTAGCCAATGTCATGAATCATACTGCTTGCTAAAATCACTCATTAGTAACCTGGAAGGGAAGCATTTATATCATTATTGTTGATGTGCCCTGTGGGAATAGATATGCATAACACGTTTTCTTTCTCTCTATTATGGTGTAAACAACTTTATATAATTTAACCCACCACCAACATGTTACTTAACGCATAGTTATTTTCTCTCTTTCTTTCCTTTTTCCAAACACAACACATGCACTATTGCTGTCACACATACGCACACACCAATGCACAGACAATTCACTGCACAAGTGTCTCTGATGCTAGCTAACACCTTGTCTCTCTCTCTTTGCCTCGCTCTGTCATCCTTCCTTGCAGCCATGAAGTCGGACCGCAAGCGTCTGAAGGCGGAGAAAGCAGACCTGGTGAACCAGATGCAGCAGCTTTATGCCACACTGGAGAGCCGGGAGGAGCAGCTCCGCGACTTCATACGCAACTATGAGCAGCACAGAAAAGTATGGCACCCATGTTCTGACCAACACAGTCACACGCAAGTGCATGCACAAAAAAAAGATCCATAGAAAGTAAGAAAAATCTCTTGTAGCTTGTGTTGGTTGGATGTACAATACATGGACCAATCTACCCAAGTGTACAAACAATCAAATTGTGGCACTCTCTGCATATATGACTTTGGTGACTGTGAGGGTGTTAACATGACTATCAATGAGAAGTTTCTCTTGGAGTTAGATTAGATTAGATGTTCAGGTATGTGTATTGCTGTTGTATTTTATGTTGTCATTCACAAGCATAGTCAGCAACAGAACATGTAGCATCTGTTACATATACAACAATCTTAAGAAAGCTGTGATACCTGTCAGTCAATCTGCCTTTGCTTGACTGACAAAAGCCTTAATGACATCTCAGAATGATTTGAAATTTGGTTCAGTGCTATTATTTAGCAAGTTTGCCTCGCTCAGTTAATTTTTGAAGGTATGCTTGATATGTGAACCAATCCATCAGGATCTCTGTGTCTACTAGGAGAGCGAAGATGCGGTGAAGGCGCTGGCCAAAGAGAAGGACCTGCTGGAGAGAGAGAAGTGGGACCTGCGGCGGCAGACCAAGGAAGCCACAGAGCACACGGGGATGCTGCGCTCCCAGCTCGACCTCAAGGAGAACCGCATCAAGGAGCTGGAGGCTGAACTGGCCATGGTGAGACAGAAAGACAGACAGAAAGACAGACAGTGGGGGTGGGGGGTAACTACGCTGACAGGCGGACAGGCAGGCAGGCAGGCGGAGAGGCAGACTCTCTCTTTAATGCCTTTTTAAAAACATGTAAATTGATGTAAGTTGATTTTTGTATCCATCTTTTTTTAATATAGCTACTAATTAAAAAGCCAGAATATGGGAAAGAAAGAAGGACACTATATGCATATTAAACTGAAGTACAGTTATCGAGGCTCAGACACATATGCACAGGGAAAAGAAGATATTTTCAACAAACAATAGCAGGTCATGTAAGTTTCATTACTGTTTCATGGGTGTACAGTACGCTGTCTGTCACTGCACTATTTTGGATATACTGCATATAGCCTTTGAATGTACAGTATAGCTATCCCTCATGTCTCCAACCCCCTCCACCAGATGAGTAACTGTGTCAATCAGAGAATGGAGTTCCGGGTGTTTGAGCGGGTTGCAGAAAGGGACTACTCTCCTAGGGTCATGGCGGTAAGATGGGCCCCGAGCTTTTTAAATTTTGACCTTTCTTGATCCTCCCGCACCCTGGAAATCTCTCCTACATGTGACCTAATTGTCGTTTTGGAAAGCCCCTCCTCAGATGCACGTTTTTTGACTAACCCCTCAGCCGACCCTGAATGATCCCAGTGATCCTAACATAAGTGATCCCACGGAATTCCAGCCCTGATTGATCTGAATGTGTTTTAGGTCTAATTAAGCGAAGAAAATGCCTGGGGAGAAATATACAACAATATTCTAGCAACTAATGATTACTGCAAAGGTGTGTGATTGTATTCTGTTTTGCATGTGAAAGACTATGATTGATAATCGTTTGACCGTTGGTAGGTAGAGATGATTGCAACGAAGCTGATTGTGTGTTGATTTGCAGCCTGCCGTCGCTTGGCATGATGATAAGATTCGCACAATGATTTCAAGCATTTGTGAAACACCGACATGTCAAGGCTAATCAGAAAACATTCACACAAACGAAACGAAAACTTTTGACAGGCACAAAATACACAGGCACAAACACATATCCCAAGGCTCCAGCAGTTTATTGTTGTTCCTGCTGAAATATGGTGAATTGTGCTTAGTGTCAAGGCTCTACAGAGCAGATGTATTCATTAAATTATAGGAAAGCTTCATTATTTCCACCTTGCCATTCCTGTAAGTACCACCCCCAAAAGGAAGCATACAGCAAACGCCTCCTCCAGATATTCTGTCCTTTTTTTCCCCTCCGTGCTCTCAGGAGTGGTAACGAGATTTCACACAACAAAAGACCAACATGAATACAACTGCATTTTTCATGAGACAACAACACCATGAGGAGCCCTGGGGAGAAAATTCTTGTGTCTGCATGCACTCAGATACTTGTAGTATGATTCTGATACATAACTCGACATGTATATGTGCACACACATATGATGTATGCATAGATACGAGTGGAATCAAAACTCAACTCAAAAACAACCCTGAAACTGCATAAAAGTGTAACATTTCTCTTCAGGATTGTTGCTTTTTCTGACTGACTGCATCTGTCTGTCTACCTTCTTAAGGCCAAACAGTCACTAGCCACCCTGACCAAGGACGTGCCCAAGCGTCACTCTCTGGCCATGCCCACGGAAACGGTTGTCAATGGCAACAACCAGGAGTGGGTGATGCAGGCTGACCTCCCCCTGACTGCTGCCATCAGGCAGAGTCAGCAGACCCTCTATGTCCACGCGGGGCATCCCACTGACAGACAAGGTAGGCGAACATGACCGTAACACCCTCATCCTGTACACGAACTGCCTCACACAAGGTGGTTTTACAGTCATTTACCCTCTGCATGTTCATGTGAACCTGCTTCACACACATTCACTCCTGCCATCTGCTCAGTATGACCACATTGTTGGCCACTGATGATGCTCCGGTCGTGACATTTCATGCGCTTTATGTAGCTGTTACAGTGAACATATTTTTGGCTTTACGGCTCCCATTTGTCTTTGCTGCACAGAAATGTTTCCTTAGAGAATGGTGGCAGCTGAGGATCAGTTGGGTGTCAAGGACTGTTTTGTTCTGGTTAAATGTATTTTTACAAAAAATTAGATGTAAATGAATTCATACATTTTGTCTGTGATGTTGGAGTAACCTGACCGAGCTTCTAAGGAAAACGTCTTTTTTTTTTTCAAAGTTACTGTCTACATTTTTCAGCCTTTTTCACCTGGCTGTAATTCATTTTTGGCCCCTATTTCTACTTTCCCGGCCCCTCATAACATTTGCTATTGTACGTTCAGCATTTACATGACTTGCAGATATACACCACAGACGGAGGAGGAGAAGCAACATTCTCTATCACTGCTTAGAGTACGTGAGCCATGGCTTTAGACATTTGCAGGTGAAATGCATCGCAAACTGCAAGCCGAAGCATCAACCATCATTGAAATTCCCATTTGAAATTCAAAACACAGTCAACACGCAGCCTTTCTTTGCAAAGCTCAGCCACTCTGACTTTTGGGACTCTTGTGACTGGAAAATAAAACTGTGTCCTTTCTTTTCCTGTGTTGCATTGCAGCAATGCAGCTAGCCAATCATGGCTCATCCTGATATAAAACGGGGAGTAGTTTTCAGAAGTGCAAATGCGAATGATAAATAATACATTTTGCAGTGGGCATCAAGCAGGACCACAGCAACAGGTGCAACCACAATCCGAGGGAACCTGTGAGACGAGAAAGCACAAAAACTCAGTACAGATAGAGAGGAGAAGAGAGGAGCTCAGTGCATCATGGGAAGTTCCTCAGCAGTCTAGGCCGGTAGCAGCATAACTAAGGGATGGTTCAGGACTCACCTGAGCTGAGTAGATCCTGTTCTACTTTTGGAGACTATACAAACCTGTATTAGCTCTGAATTCTGGGAACACAGTGTTGTAGTGGAGTAGTAGGGTACTATGAGCTCTATGAGCTAATGGTGCCTGACCATGAAGAGCTTTGTAGGTAAGGAGTATTTTAGATTCTATTCTGAATTTTACAGGGAGCCAGTGCTGTTATCCAGGCTGTCAGACTGAGACGTTCCTCCAAAACTTCCAAAACCATAAGAGTAAACATATCTAAACTTAGTAGCAACAACTGGACTAGTGGCACCTCCCAGCCTAAAAAAAAAGTTCTATACAAATTACTCTTGCTTCCACTAAAGTAGGAGTTCATCTCAGTCCTCCTAGAGGCTGTTTTAAAGGGCAGCCACAGGTTCAAACGGGTTGCTGACTAATTGGGGACGTCTGGAGGAAGAAGCAGAAAAAGACAAAAAAACAAGGAAAGTGTGTGAACAGTCACGAACCCCCAAATTGCCATGCATTTGGCTGTACTATATGTATCAGTCTCACTGGTACATACACACACACACACACACACACACACACACACACACTCGCTCAACCTCTGTGAAGCTGTTTTCACTGTTGCTTAGCAACTGCAGATGATTGCAAATAATTCCAGGCTTTTGAAATATATTTTTATTTAAGGGTGTTGTGGCATTGTGTCCCTGTTCACTACTTTCGCTGCCCAAACACACACCCCAAAGAAAACAAGCCTTTTTTCTCTTTTCCCTCTCGTCCCGTTTAGTGGCTGCCGTGCGGGTGAGCCCATGCCACTCGCGTCAGCCCTCCATCATCTCTGACGCCTCTGCAGTCGAGGGAGACCGGTCATCCACACCCAGCGACATCAACTCGCCACGCCATCGGACTCACTCCCTCTGCAATGTAAGCGCTGCCCACCACTGCACCCTCCAAAGTAATCACCTCCTTTGTAGTAACTGCCGACTGTCCTGCTCCCTGGCCGTTGCCGTTTTCCTTCCGCCATCGTTCTGGCTGAATTCATGTTTGCCCCACGCAGCCTGTCGTGTACTCACTCTGCAGCTGTGACTTGAATTTATGTGAAAAACCAGTTGTGTTTGTTGAATAAGTGCATGTCTGCCAGCATGTCAAGTGTCATTTCCCTTCTGTGTTGTGATCTTTATCTATCCTGGTCTTTATCGCCCACTCTGCACCCCTTCGCTGACTTCTCTGCTCTTGCATCTCTCTGTTCCTTTGCCCATCTCTTCATCTTCTTCTTCCCTCTGCTCTCCCTTTCTCTTTCTTCCTCCAGTCCCTAGAAGATCTGGAGGAGGCGAAGCGTAAGAAGAAGAAAGAGAAGATGGGGCTGGGCTCTCTGTCGCGTGTCTTCGCCCGGGGAAAGCAGCGCAAATCCCTCGACCCCGGTTTGTTTGATGGTACTTCAACGCCTGATTATTACATAGAGGAAGATGCAGACTGGTAAAAAAGCACACATGTCCGAGCGAGCCACCCGGAGAGCCTCTGTGGCAATTATCAGAAGACAGCATTGTGTTAAAACGCGAGCGTGAGAGGATGGGCGTGCGTTTGATGTCAGTGTGTACAGCTATAACAATGTGTGTGCTTGTGCAGTCTCACATGCATGCATACTTGCGTGTGTATGCGTGTGAGAGTGTGTGCATGCGTGTGTCGTCCATGGTCAGAGGCCATGTCAGAAGCCGGAGGCGTTTCTTGCTTCGCTGAAGTGTAAACCTTAACGAGCAAATTGCACCTGTATGTATGTACAGTCCTGTAAATAGAGTGGACAGTGTGACACAGCGACCATGTGGATATGTTCTATTGTATCTGCCCTCCAAAACGGCTGTGTTATTGGATCTTTTAATTGTTCTTTACATTTTGACTTTTTGTTTTCACTCAACTGGAAACTTGAAGGACTGCTGTACTTGTAAATAACAACAGTTGATGTGCACTTTGTGCGTGTAAATGTCTCCTTGTCCTGAATGCCTTTTGTTATTTTTGACATGTACTCCCCTCCCCTCACTACCTTTTAACTTAAACTCCTCCCTGTTTATTGTCCTGCTTGGTCCATCCCCCTCCTTCCACACTGCCATGATGAGAACAGTTTCCTGTCGGCAACATGCAGACTCCTCAAATCCACCTCCAATTTGGTTGTTCAACACATCCCTCAATCCGCCAAGAAAACTGTGCACTCCTTGATGTTTTGCTCAAATGAGCCTTCAAAGACACTGCTAAGCGAGGAACGAACTTTCTATGCAGAACAGTTTGTTCCACGGCATCATGAAGCCAAACAGGAAATATAAGAAACGTGTTTTCTATCTGTTAAGATAGAAGGTACATGCCTGAGGTACATGTGTGACATGCATGCACATAGTCCCAGTCCCTAAATGCATGTTGAATAAAACCCTACTAAACAGAAATGTCTTTCTCTGGGTATGTTGTTGAGGAGGTGATAAACTGTCTGTAAAAAAAAAAAAAAAAAGAGAGGTCAGTTACTGATTTCATGGTGTTTATTCATGATTTCCTCCATTTCAAATGAAGTTATTAGATTTGTTATTCAGAAAACATTATGATTAATGTTCAAGAGATTAACACCCCAAAGCAAACATAGAGCGGTTTAATCTGCACCTACAAGGCTCTTGTATGCAAAAATACTTTTGAAATATTAAAGGTCCGCAAAGTCAACAGTAACAAAGAAAACCCATCGCTAAATTTTTTAAATTATTAAATAATTATTAAATTTATTCATGAGGCTTTCTACCGTTTTCCCTCTGTATGATCTTACAGTAGCTTGTAGCTATACAGTTTTATTAATACTTTTGGGAGTAGAATTATTCTGGGAAAAGTTGGTCTAAAAAAAGAAAGCTAGTATCCCAAAATAAGTGGTAGCTTAAACATCAATTATACTAACATAGTAGATATCAGGCGGATGGATATTTTACCAGAAAATCAGAGCTTCAATTCAGAGGCCCGAGCATGGAGCAGGCGTTAAATGAACTGTTATAACAATAACGAGTGCCAACCCTGGAGGTTAAAAATCAGACTTAAGCAGGCTAATCAAACTGAAGCAAATGCATACCTTCTCCCATGACCCTGTGAACTTGCCAAAAAAAATCAGATGCAGAGTTCAGGCCATTGCTGAAAAAGGCAATTAAGTGTGTGCCAAAGGTTAATAGCATTTCTTCAAGCAAAAGAATGACTACAGACATTGGATTATTTTCATCCTTTCATTGGATTGAGCCGGAGTCTGCACTGCCACCCCCAGGAAATCTTTTCTCTCCCTGATATTAAACTAACACTGGGTATTTGTCTCATCTGAAACACTATAGAGTCACAGATTACATTGGAGCTGTATTTAACCACAGAGCTTGTCAAAAGGGGCGTCCATGTAAGCAGCAGTGAGGGGATTATCATTTAACCCTTAGCTCAACCCACATTTGGGCTCGCAGATTTTGGATGTAGAGGTGAATCATTAAGGTAATTCAAACATAAGTCACCATGTATTAAATTGTATGTATAAGAACTACAGCTCAATCAGTTTATTTCATTAAACATTTAATGAAATGTATGAAAATCCAGGCTATTTTTTATTTTTTTCATTTAACTAACCATTATGACCCTCTGCTGATGGGGGTAAAAAAAACATATCAAATGAAAAACATTGTATGATTATTATGTTTTGAGCCACGGTCTCTCTGTTGTTGTTTTTTATTTTCCTCAAATATTTTACTTTTTTGTAAATGAGATAACATTACAGAAATAAAAAATAATATTATTAAAGAGTTTTATTTAAAGTCAAAGATGTAGGCCTCAGTGGAGGACTTCTATTGTGAGGTCCTGAGATGTTTAGAAGTGGACAGTAGCGAACCTTTAAAGGCATGGCAACAAAATTACGCTTAAAAGAACTTAATGAGAAAAATAAGATTATTTTAAAATAAAATAAATAACGTTGAATTTCCACGTGGCTGTCCTCTCTTTCCCTGTGTTAATGTTTGTGTGTGTTTGTGTTCATTTGTTGTGGTATGGCTCTAATCCTGATCCTGGTCCCTTTATGCTGGGGGGGCTGCCATCTTTAACATATGTGTTAGCCTCCCTCAGTCCTGCAAGTCCATCTGTGAGAGGACTGCATCCCAAAAGCTTCCAAATGGCCTCCTTTCCTCTCTTTCCCAATTTGAACTCCATATACACACCGAAGAGCATTTTCTCCTCTTCTTTCCTGTGATACCGCAATCAATAATCATCACGAAAATATAGAGGCGAGGGGAAAGGAAGCCATGTCGGATTGTCGGAACAGAACTCATATGTGTCAGCACATGGTGTCAATAATTGTTCTGCTTTGATTTGAACCCCTGACCTCTAACACTGACCCCTTTTGTCTGACCTCCTCTGGACTCTCAACACAGTGAAGTGACCCAAGAAGTAATCAATCAGACTCAGTGAGACCAAGGTACACCAGTCCCAATTGCTTTTAGATATTAGCTCTGTTGGGTTGCAAGCTGTGTTTGCAGATGCCTTCTAACACATCACAAAATGACCTTGGGATTAAGCACTTCTTCAAGTTGAATCTAATTCTGATGCAAAAATTGAGTGCCATAGTGTATATACTGTATATATGCATACATATATATATGCTTCTGGGGCAAAAGCAAATGTTTTTTCCTGTGTACTGAACTGATATTATTATGACATTCTGATATTATAGACTTCACAAAACTTCACAGTGGCCGCTTAAATTTAACATCCGACATTATGGGAAACGTACTTATTTGCTGTCTCGTCAAGAGTTGATACCACTTTCATGTCTGCAAGCTACAGCCAGCTGCCGGTTAGCTTAGCATAGACTGCGAAGCAGACTGGCTGTAACTTCATTTTTACTGTACAGACATCAGAGGCATCAGTCTTCTCATCTAGCTCTTGGCAAGAAAGCAAATAAGCATGTTCCCAAGGATGTAAAACCTATTCTTTTATCTACCTTTAAATAGAATTCAAGCTGCTTCGATTCGCTAAGCGCAAAGGCTAAAAACAGACTGGCTGTAGCTTCAAATTCATCATACAGACATCCAAGCAGCATCGATCTTCTCATCCCTCTGCAAGAAAGCAAATAAGCGCATTTCCCAACATATTGATCTATTCCTTTAAGCCAGTTTACTCTCCAGATACAGTGTACTAGGGACAGCACTGGCTAGCCACCTATGGTGTAATCATATTTCTTGAATTGTGAACGTATGTCCATCTAGGCTCTTGACATTCAGCTGTAACATTTTAAACATGGTAAATCTGGAAAATGTCACATTTCTGACAAATGTATGATGTGCGTCTTGGTCCAGAACACTACCTGCTGCATCCAAAACACTGCAGTAGTGGCAGTGACATCCATTACACTGGCTATTGACGGGCATGTTTAACGATCGACTGCTTAAGCAAAACAGTCTTCTGTGTCTTATGTGAAGTGTACGTATGACTTATGTCTACATACAAAATGATTAGTAAGCCATCGCAGTGTTTACAGAAACACTCATGGCCTCAGATTAAAGACACAAAAACTATTTACAGTAATCGGCTACATAGCCGTCGGATGATCTTCTGGCCCACTCTGCTTTCAGTGGGTTTTAAAAAGGCATAAGAGGGTCAACCCCACAGGAGGACCTACCTGTCAGGTCACAGAGGCTCCAGTCTCCAACAGTTTGGCCTTCAGCTGGATGTCAGACAGTCAATTCTGCAGTACTTAATGTGACATACCTTTGTTAGGACTCTCTCCGGAGTGAAGAACAGACCTTGTATCTGGACAAGAGTGCATTTCTGTCCATAGAGCAGATTTATTCAGCTTAATATGAATTGCTCTCAGAGGAGCTCTTGGAAGTGCACCTTCAGTTTATGCATTGCTCTTAGACGGGCTCATAAAAGCTTCCAGCTTGAGATGAATTGCTGAAGTCGAGTTTAATAAGAATCAGTTTATTTGGTACCTATAATCATTCAGTCGTGAATCTCTTTTTGAGTAAACACAGTTGTACAGTAAAGCCTGCCAGAAAGTAAGGTTTCCATTTGCTGTCTCTGCTTGGAACAAGGACACACAAACAGACAGAACCACAGATGAAACAAAGAACCTGTTGACAAGCAAAATTTCAAACTGAATGATTCAGATAGAAAACATCATTCAATTTCACATCTTTATTTTTCCACTGGAATAACAATAACAAAATTGATGTTTTGGCGAGTAAAGCATCCGACAAGTAGAGCAAAGACTGCATCCTTTATGACTGAACTCTCTGTGGTTTTTGTCCAAGACTCATTAGCATCCCAGGAATCCTTGCAGTTTTAGCCTTGATGACAGTCAGCGGGAGAGCCACAGAGTACTGCTATATTCTGAGGACTGCACCAAGATCAGTGCAGTATTTGTGCTGATGTAGAGGTTTTCCAGAAAGGGTTAGAGGTGACAGGTGACTTTGAGGTATGTCATTTTTGGTATCAAATAGGAAAAAAATAAGTGATGCTGCACAGGCACAACTATTTGTCAGTGAAAAACAAAACATTAAAAAGAGACCTCACACCTCAGGTGGATAATCGTTTTCCACACACACATATGTGTCATGAGCAAACAGAGCAATAATACTATGTTCAATATTAAAAGCAATATATGATGCTTTACCAACTGCTGAGCACTAAAACTGGTACTATGTTTCCACCTGCTGGTAAATACAGAGAAATGTCTCTCAGTGAAACTAAATGAACTGTGGTATTGGCCAATATTTTCTTGGCCTGATTCCTCCAGACATTGAAATCTGACAAAGAAAAATGTAAACAGGAAACATTTGGCCCAATCTTGTAACAAAACAGGTAAGCAATGCAAGACTATAGGGGATAATCTATGGAGCATTTAAAAATAAAAGTAAATTATGATATTGTGTGGCAGATTTCCTGTGACAATAATGCATCAAAATATGAGTATTTTCGTTTCCATCAAGCTGTTGCTGCAGGCTAATTTAGACAGATGAGTCATGTTAATTCTACAGCTTAAACAGCTGTCCATGTAATGGACTTCTTAAGTGAGGAGCTTGTTTTTAAAAGCGGCAACTTTGTTTACAGCATCCCTGGCAAGCGCATGGCTTGTTGACATGCAGCCAAAAGCTTAGGATGTTGTTAAAAGCATGTTTGTTTAGAAGATATTACTCACCATCTAGTTACGTTCTTTCCACTGGGCTGATTTTCTGTTCAACTCATTTGAATTTGTTACAGTACGTTGAAATTAACATTTTGTTTTGTCATTGCTCACTATACCCACAACCACCTCTGCCTTCACTCACACCCTCAACTACATCACCCACATGTCTCCCCCTCACCCACTCACCCAGACTCGGACAGCCTCTCCAGCCCCACCCGCCACAGCCTTAGCCTGTCAGATGGGTCGGAGGACCAGCTGGACCGCCTCCAGCAGGTGGAGCTGGCCAGGACGACCCCCATGTCCCAGTGGAGGGCGGGCACTGTGCAGGCCTGGCTGGAAGTTGTCATGGCGATGCCCATGTACATCCGCACCTGCTCAGAAAACGTCAAGAGTGGAAAGGTAGAATGAAATTTCTCACATGAAGTGGACTCACTCTGTATTTTACATACATAATTACAGGCTGCAGTAAATTGTACCAGGCTACTTTGATATTTTGCAGGTTTTACTTGGACTAACAGATGAAGACCTGGAGCTGGGTTTAGGTGTCAGCAGCTTAATGCATCGCCGGAAACTCCGCCTAGCCATTGAGGATTACAGAGATGCTGAGAACGGTAGAGGGTGAGGAAGGGAAACAGAATTCTTGTATAAACTGTACATTATGTGGTAGTGCAAGAGGGCCATCTGTTGGTGATATACGGTTACAACATTCACAACATGTAGTCCGGGATCATCCCATTATTCTCTGGAGTCATAATATTGACTTTAAATACAAATGTTTAGACATGAAGCTTCCGTCTCACTGTCTGTACAACTGTTACAACCTCCAACAGAAGCAGGTTAGTCTCACTTCCATATGAATGTGTCTTTTTAGTCATCTGTCCACAGTATGGCCTGCCTTTATGAACAACAATTTTAAATAGATTAAAGGGTCAGTTCCACCTCACTTACAAAGAAAACCTATTGTGTCCAGGTTTTTTGTTATGCGTCCTCAAAGAATTGGATTACACAACATTCAATGGCAATATACCTTTCCAGAATCACTCTCCCTTACACCACCACAATACCTTAACTATGAGGAAATGAAATTTAAGTTTTGCATTTCCTGTAATATTTTTGTTTCAATATCATTAATGTTCCTATTACACGTGTGGCATGGTTTCTGAGTCATTAGCACTCACAGCAAGAAGGTCCAGGGTTCAATTTCTGAATGGGGGAGTTTGCATGTTATCCCCATGTTTGGTCCTTAAGTGTCACACAGGGGCTGTCCACTGCTCCTAGAACAGTTACAATTTGGATCTGATGAGGGTGTTGGTGTAAAGATTAATGATCACCAAGTTATTACAGTTCATCTTGAAAGAAACATCTGTACCAAATTTGATACAATCCATCCAATAATTGTCAAGACCTTTCTATCCAAACCACACATCTTAACCTCATGGTGGTGTTTGAGCAAAAGTCAGAGGAATCAAGGGTGAGTCCTTGCTGCAGTGTCAGTGAGTTGGAAGCTGACCTGTGGCCCTTGACTGCGTGTCACTCCCTCCCCCTCCCCTTTTCTATCTATCTTGAGCTGTCCTATCAATAAAGGCCCAAAAAATACATTAATCCTCTGGGAACCTTGAATGTATGTGTGAAATATCATGGCAAGTCTTCTAATAGCTGTTGAGATATTTAAGTCTGGATCGACCGACAGACATTGCAATCCATAAATCCACACCACTGTTATATCTTCATGTATGGATACCACAAAATGTAAGTATGTTTCTATATGTGAAGTGAAGTGACCCTTTAAGAAACTGTTTGTCTGTAGGCTGTCCAAGGCTGCAGATATGGACCACCACTGGGTGGCCAAGGCCTGGTTAAGCGACGTGGGTTTGCCTCAATACTCCCAAGCCTTTCACAACCACTTGGTGGACGGGCGCATGCTGAACTCCCTGACACGTCGTGACCTTGAACGTCACCTCAACATCACCAAGAAGTTCCACCAGGTCAGCTTGCTGCTGGGCATCGAACTGCTGCACTTACTCAGTTTCGACAAGGAGGTACGTAAGTCCACAGTGTGTCCACAAGCAGAGGATAACAGTGAATTTACTTGGTTGTGCTCTAGTGGCGGGTGATCCGTTGAGTAAAAGCTGTTTGTGAAAATGGTTTCCAGGCACTGCAGGCTCGCCGGATACAGTGTGAGCACCAGAACGTGGATCCATTGGTATGGACCTCTCATCGGGTCATCAAATGGATCAGAGATATTGACCTGAAGGTGGGGACATAGAGAAAGACTGAACACATGTAAAACACTCACTATGTATATATATTGTCTTTTTAAACTCACATTCTAAAAGAAAAAGCTGAAGCTGACAAATTTTCAAGCAAAACATGCCCAGCAGTCATTGCAACCAAACAAATATTTTAATAAAATATTAATAATCAGGAGATACTAATGTATTGAGCATTAGAACGACACTATCACTTGGCATTGTGGGTAATCTGGGCTCTTGCGTTTACTCAGCGCTCCCTATCTCCACAGAGTGATAGAAGGCCTTTGTTATTGTACTTCTAAGCTGCTACTAGTTGATTACAAAGCCTTTCAGATTCCAGCCTCTGTGGTGTAATATGAATCTCCCCAGTCAACATTGTCTACTGTCTTGGCATAAGAACACATGTTTCCATTATGAAGCATGACCACATTCAGAGTGCGCAGAGATAAGGCCGTCTGGACTGACTTCCTGTTAATATCCTTGGGGTGTGTGAATTTATACTGACATCAGCAAATAAAATCAATATATTCTTTTTTCCAGGAGCACATTTGACATATTTTTTGTGAGACTCTTGATATCAGTGCCTTTTCATTTAACCAGTAATGGCAACGGTATTACATCAGAGAATTCTAGATTTGATGCTATGAATGAAACAAGTAACTTTTTTCCGCCCACCTGTCCAGGAGTTTGCAGAAAATCTTCTAAATAGTGGAGTTCACGGTGCTGTCATGGTACTTGACCCCACTTTTAACATTGACGCCATGGCAACAGCGCTGGGGATCCCCAACAACAAGCATATGGTCCGCCGACACCTTGTTGAGGAGATGAAAACCCTGATTGGCTCGGCCAGGTGAGAGGAGACACGACACCAAGACAGACCCTACTGTCGATCTTGGATAACATAAACTGTGTTTGTCTGTAGATTTTGTACAAAGAAGTATTCTAGTGTCTTCGCAGTTGTCCCCAACACTCTCCTCCTCCCCATCTTCCCTGCAGGGCGGATGCCAAGCAGGACTATGAGCGTCTGGGCCTAGGAACACCACCAACCCTCCTTCGCCAGAACTCCCTGGGCAGACCACCCAGCTCTACCGGCCGGCACACTGATGACGAAGGCTCGCTGAGAAGGAGAGCTGTCAAGGTGGGTATAAAGTTACTGCAATAGAAACTTTCATGAGTCATTTCACTTGGTTTTTTCTTTTTTTAAGAATCCAAATCAAGCTTGGTCACTTTTACTCAGAATAAATACTCAGAAACACATTAAAAAATATTAGAAGAATACAATACAGATTTGACACAGCAGCAGTACAACATTAAAGGTGCACACGAGACAACCTGTATGGCAGCAGGCTGACAACGTATAAGAACAAAACTTAAACTAGGCTTACACAGAGAATATTCCCCCCATGAAAATAAACAATGTAAAAAAAAAAGCCTTGTGTCAGTGTATTTGTGTTTCTGTTCTAGCCTCCAACAGGGTTCAGCCCCAAAGCCCGCAGTGGGCGGGATTTGAGCTGCCATAGCAGCTATGGCTCCCTGCCACGGGAAGTTCGAGACCAGACTCCGCCCAGAACCGAGGGAAGCCCGATCCGTGGTTTCACCAGCATCGAGGTCACCAACGTGTGAGGTCATCAGACATCAGCTTCATCACAGCTAAATCTACATCATGGACATTTGTCTTCCATGTGCACCTGAACATGTTATTTTTTTTTCTAAAGATGAGCCTTTACAGGACAGATTGCACTTTTTAAACGGGACAGGATTCTTTTTTTTCCTGGTTTAAGAAAAACTTTATAAGACGCATTGTGGGCAGGTGCTATTTTAACGTTTTTGAAGGCGCTCATTTCCCTTCCTCAACGCCAGAATCACGAGATGAAGGATTCAAGCTAAATGATCATTTTTCTATTTTTTTGTGTGTAAATGGTTCTTTGTGAACTAGGATGGGACTTGTTTTTGTTGACTAGTTGCTATTAACAGTCTGGTTCTCTGACCGAAATGATATAAAGACTGTAAAATACAGGGTACTTGATGACGAAATGAAAAAAAGTTTCTATGTAAATTGTTCTTGTTTCATCCAGTTCTGCTGTTCGTGAAGCCTTGTCAGTGTAGCTGAGGACAATGAACAAAAAAAAAGACTAATTGAATTTAAAATTCTAGAGTTTATGTTTGACAGTCATTTTCCATCTTGCACATTTACACAGTTGTGTCTAAACAGATGTAGCACTCTCTTCTGATGTTTTATACTGTGCAGTAAACATGGAAAACTATTTGAACAATGGCAGCAGAAGATGACTGCTGAGCTGTATGTCCATGGGCTGGTGGCTGAAAGGTGTGAGGATGCATATATATGAAAATAAAAGAGTTTCTTTTAATGAAATAAAGATGACATCCCATATTTGGTAGTCCTGTTGTGCCAATCTTCAGCAGAAGGTTCAATAAAAATCAATTAAAAAAGAATCTGAAACTATAGAGGGAAGTTTTGGGATTAGATTCAAATGCACATTAAACAAAACAAAAATTAAGCCCAATCCTACAATGAGTAAATTACTAAATGTAATGTTAAAGGGATTGCTCACAATTACAAACTTTCAGAAAATTATCAGCCAACTCTGAAACTGTATTTTAGCCTCTTTTAATTCATTGTTTTGGTTTTACGGATGCAAATTGACCTTACTGTTCAGTGCTACAGATCTCAACAAACAAAAAAAAAAACTACTGTACGTTACATTCCTACATCAAGCACCTCAGGAGTTGATGGAGGGGGGAGCTATAAGGAGGAGGAATATTTTACAAAAATGTATCAGGCCACCAAAAACACCAAATGAAAACTAATGTTGCACTGCCTCTGCTGGATGTTTAAATGGGCAACTGTTTGCCAAATGGTGTAAAACAGCAACTTTATAAGGTGGTAATATTTAAGGGTTCTGTGTCTGTCAACTTTAAAGATCAACATTCAACAACTGCCTAGTTTGCGTGAAGGAAGTTGATTGGTCAGATTTGTGGTTGTGTAGGAAATTTATGAATGAGAGGAGCTTTGACAGTGTGAGAAAGAGGAAATGATGGAGATGCTGGATGGTTCACTACCTCCACTGTAATGCAATCGGGGTCCATACTAAACACAGATCACCTTTGTGTGCTACTGACTCTGTTCAGGTGACTGATTTCTCAACAGTATTTTGGTGAGTCACTCCAGTTCCTCCTTTCTTTGCTCTGTGTTGGACTTGTTACCTCAAGCATCTGTTTAGTTCTCTACGCAATACAACATGGTGCAACTTCCTCCTCTTACTCACGGTGGCTGAGCCTTTGGGGCAAGATAAGGATGATACAGCACCACATGAGACAGCTACTGTATGGCTAGCAATGCTGCCTCTCTTAAATTAATTACCCTTCTGGTAATCCACCCACAGCTGGGAAAAATATAACAAATGTACTCTGGGATATCAGAGGTATGACATGGGAAGGCGTGTCAGGTGAAGTTCCACCTGAGAAATGAACTGAACTACTTGTTAGGGAAACATTCAGTTGGGAAATGTAATAACATTCTCGTATAGCAGCAATAAAACCAAGATCAATAATTACACATTAGTGGATGTGACTGAGTTTACAAGTTGGATTACAACGGCAAAATCAAGATTAAAATCATTATTTTATTTGATTTATGTATGGTTTTATTTGAAATAAATATACACTGCACAGAACACTGATTAAATAATCTGATAATGCCACATTTCATAGCAAGTTAAGGTTACGAGGCTGCTGACATATCACTTAATTTGATTACAGGCTCACAGTGATAGGAGATCAAGCCAGACTTCCAGATGTAATCAAGACTTGTTCACAGTAGTTCTCTGTCTATCCTCTGTGTGTGTGTGTGTGGGGGGGAAGAGTATGTGTATGGTAAATGGAGGAACCAGACAAGAGCTTAGGAGGAAGAAAACCTCCCCAGAGATCTGGGCCTCATTGTAGAACATTTTCCTAAATGCTTGTCCTACCCTAATTTAACTTATAAAGATGGAGAGTAAATCCTATCTTCCTATTACAGGAGTGATTTCGTAAACTCATGGCTGTGTCCTATCTATCCTATTTTAGCTTTGATGAGTTGGGACGTAGCACAAAAGCATGTTGGTCAATTCAAAATTGTCTTGGCAGTCAAGATATACCATTAATACACAGTCTTGGAAAATTAAAGTGTCATATAGTTTGAGTTGCCTTTCAGTCATTATATTCTGGTGTTCACGTTGTTCCCCATCTTCACTGTCATTGCCATACAGGTCTAACAACAGTGGTGCTGCCATACATGCACCATGTCTCCTCGAAACTGCATTCCAAAATTGTTCTCATAATTACATTGTGGTAACAACCATGATTATGTTCAGATACAACATAGTTATTTTGAATTTAAGGCAGGGTCTATGCCATCCTTACTGAGGAAATTATTTGGTTAGGACAGTTCTGTGATAGCTCAATTCCAATCCTAAGATAATATATGTTTTTTTCTTCAATACAGTTAGGAAACTGTTTCTGTAATGCCAAAAATCCTAAATGTCACCCTAACCTAAGATATGATAGGATTTCATATTTAGGAAATTTCCGTAATGAGGCGCCCAGAACAACAGGGTTGCCCCACTTAAAAGGAACAATACAGTTGGGACTGGTTTTGTCATTAATGTAAACCAGCCCAGTCCTCGTTCAGCAGGCCGCTACAGATGAAGACACTGGGACAAGGAAGTGGAGCCAAGTGGGGCCTGTTTTCACTGTCTTGAGTAAATACCAGCATGTAAACAAACACAAACACTCTAGCACAAGCACACAAATGTCTGTACTGTGTGTCTAAATGCATTATAGAAGAGCATGTGTGTCATGTGAGTGGCTGCAGCGTCCTCTGGGTTGGTTCTGTCCAAAGGGCTCAAAAGGAGTGACGGTGAGTAGGTGATAAATTTACAAAAAGGAAGTAAAAAATCCAGTGACATAAAACTGACTGACTTGTCCGTGTTTATTGCAGGAGGAAGTATTAAGTAAAGAGTGAGTCAGCGACTTTTAGTCATGGATTTCGATAACAGTATGAGACACAGGGTCTCATATATTTTCATGGGCATCACCGTTTTGAAGCCAGATTTGACTCAAAAGGGGATTTATGCAAATCTAACAGTGGTGAAAACAAAAAAATAGTAAGCAGAGTGAAAGTTACTGATGTCAACAACATAACACACAGTCAACAACACTGTGTTTTCTCAAGATCTCCTCAAACCCTTTCAGTGACCCCTGCTGGCCCTCAGGCCTCACTTCACCGGTTTACAGCAACTGGACTCCTTTCCTGTATTTTATTATAAGAGTGTCAGTCAGAATAAACAGAAGGATCAGTCAGTCTGACTGTAGCTGTCACACATAATTAACACATTGTTTCACTTCTGCTGGGGTTTGTTCCTCTATTAGTTTTGTCCACTACAAAAATATTCCACTCTGGGATTTCCATTCAGTTCATAGCCAAACATTTCCATACAGCACCTCCCCAAAAATTATTTCTCAAGGTCTTTGATGACTAAAACATGTGCCAACATGAAGAACAGTGTCAGATAGAATGTGATAAAGGGTGCCCCAATGAGCGTCACCCTTTGGTTTTTACGGTCATAAGATATGATAAATCTAGACTGTTAAATGTTTCCCGGCAGTTTGCATCGCAGCAGCACCAATAAAGGAACCAGCACAGAGAGAGTACAATGCACTGAAAACCACCCAGCGTGTTTAAAGACGAGCACCAGTTCATATCTCCTGTCTACAGAGCTGGACTCTGGGAAAGCGAGCAGAGCCAACATACCTAAAATATTTCCTCACATACTTTTTTCACAGATCCTCTTGCGACACGCCCGAGACTGAAAGGGTTAATGAAACTGGAAGTGAAGATTTGAGCCCCCTCCCTCTGCTTCTCCCCCCCTCTCTGCTTCTCCCCCCCCTCCCTCTCTCTCTCTCTCTCTCTCTCTCTCTCTCTCTCTCTCTCTCTCTGGGCCCATCCGTTTCAAACAGAGGAAAGTTTCCGACCCTCAAACGCAATTTGTCCCCAGATTCTGCCACACACAAACGAGCTGTCGGCGTCGGCAGTTTGCAAATAAACCCCACACCTCCCATATCTGAGAAGAAGAAGAAGAAGAAGAAGAAGAAGAAGAAGAAGAAAAGGAAGGACGAAGAAGCATTGTCAAACGATGTAAAGGTGAGCGTAAAGCCGACGCAATGCTTCGCTGAAGTATCCCTTTTTTGTGTCGCTGAAATGTTACTAAGAGTTACACAATGGCCGAAGTTTGTAACGGTGTCAGTCCTGGAAAAGTTTTGTTGCGCCGCCTTACGTATCCTGCTGCGGGCAACGTTAGAAACCCGCCCAGCGTTAAAGTAAAACGGACACTGCATGGTAGGTGTGGGCGAGACGAGCAGTACGAGGAGTGAGGCTCAAACGTGAACCCCCAAATATCATGAGCCTGTTCAATGTAACATTTGAGACATTATATATATATAATGTGAGCGAGAAGAGGCGTTTTGTTAACAGCTGGCTGCTGAGTGGCAACTTTTTCCTACAGTGGAGAAACTCTTTCACTTCACACACATGATCTAATTACATGTTGTACAGGGCTTTGTGGAATTAAGGTTTTTTTTTATGAGCAGGAATGTTAATGTCTTACTTGACTGTGAAAACTTGTCCTGTGGCATAAATGCTTTGAGGCTGGACTGTAAACACGCCCACAATATGTGACATCTTCATACAAATGTTACTTTGCACCTCTGGATTGCACAACTGTAAACAGGCTTGTGAGGGGGTGTAGGCCTGTGTGTGTGTGTGTGTGTGTGTGTGTGTGTGTGTGCTGGTTTGTCTGTGTCCAGCTGTCATCATGAGCATAATTCAGTGTCATGCCATACATTCTTCAGGGAGAGGGTATTCCTAAATTGGAGATGGGTTCACCTTCATTAGACTAGCCCCCCTCTCACCCTCAGCAGGTCTAGGCATGTTTGCGGACTACACACTGACACACCTTTGTTGGTGTATTCGAAGATTTATCTGTGGTATGAGTACTTCAGGAAGACATTGAGTTGTCTCAGAGGTTATATATAGATAGTTCATATCTTTCTTTTTTTTCTCTGAGTTTATTTATAGTTCCCGGCAATTCCCTCTTCTACTGACCCAGCAAAGATAAAACAGTTCCAGTGCAGACTGGCCTTGTGATCAATGGCATGTTCTAAGTATGCAGTAAAAGTGCGAGTCTGCTCATTGGACATGCTCACTGCATTTCAGGGAATTGTGTTCCTGTTAATAACCGTTAAATGAATGCTGAACTAATGATGTTTCCTTTGATCTTTGGCTTTGGAGTTACATGAAAGCACATAATGATTAGTGCGATAGATTTAAATGAA